TCTGTAGTCCGGCTTTCTGAATTTTTCATGGATGGTACCATTCTCCTCTCACTGTGCAGATTCCACAATAATTGAGATTTTTTTTTTTTCTTTATTTAGTATACTAATAGGTGTTAATTCTTCTTAATATGGCATACTCTTTACTAGAGCTCCAAAATCATGTTCATTGTGGTTCAAACTTAGTCTGTTTAGTGAAACAAACAGACCAACTTCACTTCAGTTTGGTCAGGACCAGATAACCCTGCCTTGGCTAATGCTCATTACCTTGCAGCATCTTTTGGTCAGAGTGCAGTAGAGGGTTCTTCCCTTCTGCCCTCACCCTGTGCCTGTCCCTCTAACTCCATGCCCATTGGTTCTACAGCTATACCACTCTCTGGAGAAACCTTCCCTTCTCCTCATCCCTCTTCGTGCTGTGGTGAAGCCATCAAAGAGGTTATTTAGCAACAGAAAACCTCAAGAGAGCATATTAAAAGGATTTATTGCATTATGGTGAAAGTAAATTGTGGGATAACCTAAATGGTTAGGTCTACATAAGTAGGTTTCCTGACTGACAGCCTCTCCACAATTGCTTGGGCTATGGTGTACTGTTGCTCACACAAATATAGACAGAAAACAAAGGCAATTGACTTTCTTGTCATGTCGGGAACTAGACAGTGGGTAGCTGGGTTTGAAGAGGAGGCCTCAGTGAGTTTAGCTTGCCCTCTTTTCCTTAGCATCTCACTTGGCAAGGTCCTTATCAGATGGCGACAATGAAACAAGCGTTCTCATTTTCCACTGGCTCTGACAGGGAGCTTCCTGCTTTGGATATAGAAGCAGAGGGTGCTAATAGCACCTCTTTCCATAGGAAACCATCTTCATGTTTTCTGTAAAGGTCTAGTTTAAAAATATTCCTGAGCAAGTTGAAAGCACCACCTTGAGATAAAAGTCACACCATGGTTGTCATTGCTGATGAGTTCTTTTACATTACTGTCAGATCGTGCTGCATTTCTACAATGCCTGTTGTGTATGGGTAGCTGTAAAGAGCATTCTGGTGCTCTTAAGAAGTGAGAAACTGAACTAGGAATTCTGATCTTAGCAAGTCATCCAGCTAGAGCAAACAGTAGGATAGGGTCTGTACACACCTAGTGAAATTATGCGGGCATCTTGAAAGTATTTTAACATGTATTAAACAGTTCCTGATAATCTATCTTGTGAAGTAATAGAGCAAAATTGAAGGTAATATCAGGGAGGGAGAATGTTTCATGTGGTGGAGAGAAATGATCTGTAATTGATAATTTGGCATAAAGAGTCCCTTAAGAGCTCTGTTTTGTAACAGTTTGGAAGGTCATAAAATTTCAAACCAATAAGAACAAAAAAGCAAAATGAGCCATAAAAGAAAATAACCAGAACAATGATTATGTAAATGGACAGTGTTCTCCTTAATGTATATGTGGTTTAAATATCTGAATACTGCAGCGAGAAAGCATTTGTCACGCTTAGGTTGGGAATTGCTTCAGCATCCATTCAGTTTCCTGAGGATTTAATATCCAGAGATGGCCATAGATGTTCAAATTTATAGCCCATTCATGAGTTATGACGAGTAGCTGGAAGCACAACATGTGTAACAGCTATAAAATCCCACTGAACTCTTAAGACTACCGTTACAACAGCTGAGTGCGGAAAAACAAGACTTCATATTGTGAGCTCATTTTAAATTGTCACAGATTTACTGAATGCTAGAATTGTCTGCAAGCCACGAAGCATGATTCTTCCTACAATCTCATAATAACTTTTTGATTGTTTTAAGCATACTATTTTAGAAATATAACCTTTCATTTGGTCAGTTAAAAACTCCCAAACAAGGTATATGCAGAATGTTGTTAGTGCTGAATAAACACACTAACATGCTTTTAAATGAAGAAGTGCTTTTTTTTTTCTTCCAGCGAATCAAACCAGGAATTCATGGTTTATTGACTATTAACATCTTGTCTATGTAAGCAAGCTGATATGATGGAGTAGTTTCTCAGTCACCAGATGTCCCACATGTTTAGTGCAGCAACAAGAGGAGGAAGGAGAATAGGACAGGAGGGTAACTTTGCCTTCATACCAGTGCAATGCACAGGCAGGCAGGTAGAAGCAGGAATCCACGTTGACACAGGCGCACAAACATTGCTAATTAGTAGCTTTGCAGGGACGTTCTTTGACATTCATGGTAGAGAATGTGCTGGTAGCTCCTCTCCGGAGAGCCTATGAGTGGTCGCACACTTACCACACATGGAAAAAGAAATCTTTTGGTAGTGCCTCCTCCTTCTTGAGAGACATCCTTAGCAAATGCATGTTGCATCCCAGCTGGAGTCAAGTACCATCTGTCTATAGTTCATGGCTCTCAGCCACTTGGGAAATGAGCCGCTTGGTAGCCACTCCTGTCTTAAACATTCTAGCCATGAGATGGAATCTTATTGAAGTGCTGGCCCAAATATATTCACTCTTGCTCTCCACTCACCCTAGCTAGGTACTTAATTTGCAGCTGTTTGGATACCCAAACCTGACTGCCGTTGTAAGCTTTTCATTTCTTCATTTTTCATACTCTCCACAAGAGAGGCTCACTTAGCTTCTTTTCAGGTAATGAAATCCTTCCTAGTGATTTCCTGAATGCCGTTCCTGGACTGGTACAATACTGTATTTGCAGAGTCTGTCGTAAGGGGTGTTGTCCAAAGCTGCATTTAGGCTTATTATTTACCTAATCTTCTGTCACTTTCTGGCAGTAATTTTTTAATTGTGTTGGTTTTTCCCCAAACCTATTCATTTTGAAGTTTTCATTGTCTACTATTTTGCCTTTCTGCCACTTACGGTGGGAAAAACAGGAAAAAGTTATACCATTTCTAACCGTCCAATGGGATTATGCATAATGCAAAAGCCTTGCAGAAATTGAGCCCTGCGGAGTGCTATACCCCTGAAGATCTCTTTGTAAGACAGCTTATCTCAGTGACACCATGTGTTGTGGGCACTGTTGGTTTCTGCCCTTTGGCGTCTAAGTAGAGAACTATCAGTTTGACAACCAAGGATGTGCATGATACAGATGCTTTTATTATTAAAACGGGGTTCTCCTGCAGGCGACTGAAACCTGTTTATACACAGGTAATGCCTTGCCAAGGCTGAGAAGCTCCATGCCTTGTTCACACATCTGTTTGAGCATTGTCCAGGAATTAGATGCCTGCCCACATTCCTGCTTTCTATTGTCAGAGAGCCACAGAATCGCCTCTGCTGTGCAAAGCACTGTATTTTTTTTCTTTCCCCTTCCCAAGAGGCTGTGGGCCAGGTTTTGGCAATTCGTTCACTATCCTGATGAAATTATATAGAAAATGACAGAATTGGAGAACATAAAGGCTTCAGTAGCCTCTCAGGACGTTTGCCACAAACAGGGACTCCTGGATTCCTGTTCTTGCTCCTTGTGCCATGCTTTGTTGTGTGATTTCAAGTGCAGGAGTACTCTATTCATAAGCTATGCTGCCTCTGGCAAGAAGCATACTTTGATAGCAACTATCACAGCAGCACAAGTCTCTGAATCCAGACTACCATCATTTTGTTCTTCATTTCTGCTCCTGGCAAATACATTGGACCCATGGCAGCCCACATGCAGTTTCATTTTTGCTGTCAGCAGCCTCTAGTGAATCCCTACACTCAGGGATGCCTGGTTAACTAGTTCAGCTAGCGTACTGGTTTAAAACAGTTTGCAGTATTTCTGGATCTCATGCAATTCTCTACACACACTTGTTAGAAAGCCTATGTGACTAATTTAAGGCTCAGTATCTCGTGGCAGATACTGAGATACTGATACCGTACGTGAAAGGTTGGTTTTATTGTTTTTCTTCTTTTACAGCACTGCAGTCAGCAATATACCCTTTTGAATCAAGGTTGTACCTTCTAAATCAGAGTTAGAGTGAGGCAGCTTCATTCATTCAAAACAGAAATTACACCTCAGGCAAATCACCTAACACTGCTTAACAGTAAACCCAGTTATTAAAAAAGCATGGCTTATAGCTGTAGCTGTTTAAAATGAGGGAGGATTATAAATCTGTAAACGAAAAATTTGCAACGGATGTTATGAAGCAGGAGCTGGAACAGTTCCTGTGCAAGGATGTTCATTTCATTTATTTTTCAAATTAAAGTGGACATGTAAGTACATGACTCAGCTTTGTGTGCTTCAAAAGCAAAACAAAACAAAAAAACAAAACCCCAAACTCCTGACCAGGAGTAACAGCTTATTTGCTTAGATTTAATAGAAACATTTTACTAAAACTCAAATATGTTTAATATGCTGCTATTTCTATGCATGCTTACATATATATAAGAGGTATTTTAAATTACAATTTTTAAGTGAGTACTACTATTTTCTATGCAGCTTTTCTAGTTAACAATAACGTTCACCTGTGGGAGGCATTTGTAAGTCAAGGTAGTGGTAAAGAATTAACATTACCCACTCAAGATTAACATACACTCCATGTATTTAATTATATTTCCGTGCATAAGAACTTGATCTATGCAAGGGCACCACCTGCTGACAGCTTCAGGCTGCCAAACAAAAGCTTTCATGGACTTTCAAATATTGGGGAAAATACTGTACTTTCAGACATCACATACATTAGAAAGCATATGAGCTTTGGCTCAACTTTAAGGGGAGTTCAGACATGGTATTGCTATAGTTTTGCTTTAGGTTCATTTTTTGAGTAGTCAGATTTTGGTCTGATGTTTCTTCTTCTACAAGTATTAGTTTGAAAGGGTTACTGACAAAAAAACTCCAGACATGTCCCCTGAACATGACAGATCATTCATTTGAGACTGTTTTGTAAACAGAGTGAGAAAAAAAAAAAAAAAAAAAAAAAAAAGAAACATTCCTCTATCACTTTTAGGTGGAAAATAGGAAACCAAATAAGTATAGGAAAGCAGGCCCTCTGACCAACAACATGCGATTTTAATAATATACACTGCAACGCAAATTAGCTTCAAGTGCATTTATTTTGAAATAAAATACATATGTTCATATTCTACATTACATATATTATTATTATTAAATATGAAAAAAAATACTCTTAAAAACTAATCTGACATTTTTCACATTCTATTTTATACTCTGTGGCTACAGTTAGGACACATATAGAAAAATGACAAAATTGTCTCAAGCCAGCCATAAAAGCAAAATGCACTGTTGGCTACAGTAAGGAAGCAGACAAATGATGATGGTGCTACTGCCTATTCCAGCAGGAGGACCACTGGTGAGAGGGCAGTAATGACTGAAGAGGAATGAGGGGAACTCCTTCAATAACTCCCTATCCCTTCTTCCCGTTTCTGTCCTTCATCACTGAAGTAGCAAACTGGGTTTTACTTGCACTGACAAGAAGCAGTGAGACAGATCTGCATACCAAGATGATACATTGAATACTAATCATTCCCTAAATCAAACACAGGGATTATATCTTATCCATGTCCTGCTGTATCAATTCAAGAACCCCTATACAAACATTTTCTGATTCTTTTCATATTGTCAGTAGCTTAAGGAGGTCAGGGTGGAAATTTGGTATTTACAGTGAAATGTAAATTAAAACAGCGTCCTTCAAAAGCTTTCTGAACTCACTTTTTCTTTAAAGTTACATTTAAAAAGACTAATTAGCACTTCTAATTAGCACTTTTTTTTTTCTTTCTCGAGGGAAAGTTCTTAAAGAACATTCTGCTTTTCGTTTTGTTTTGATTTTTAAATAGATAATTGTTACTATTAAGTAGTTCTGAACACAACTGTACTTACATAGATGCTATATATTCTTCTATTTGCATGTGATATAAGATGATATTTGAACAATGTGCACTAAACATAATTTCAAAAAGTTTGCTTACAATCATTTGGAGTAATAAAAGATTTCACAAACTGTAGAGGTTGGAAGGATCCCTGGAGATCATCGAGTCTAAGCCCTATGCTAAAGCAGGTTCCTCACAGTTTTCAGTTTGAAATATTTCAAGGCATAGATTGTTCCTATACAAATACAGATGTATTTAGCATCCAGTCCACCTTTTCAATAGCAATATAAAAACTGTGTTTATGTTTCTTCAGCTCTAACAGACAACATATAATAGTCACCTTGAAAGGGAGTAAGGAAAAAAAGCACTGCTGCAGAGTAGCAAAGAAAAAAATTAAGAGGAAAACCCAAATGTAACAATGTTTTGATGACTGTTTCAGTATTATCTAAACATACAGGGTATGAAAGGTAAGGTGGCTACTGACTGCCTGTAGTCTCCATCACCTTAGTAAGGCCTAATTTATGTCTAGTATTTGATGTGAAATATTTAAATATTAGTAAGTGTTACTCTGTGCTGCTGCATGCACTCATATTTTGTTTTGCTTTTTAATTTGGCACAAACACGAGTTGTTTATTTTTCAGATGCTGCATTCCAGAGTACTGAATTAGACAACTATAATTTCTACTCAATGCCACGTCTTCATATAGAAGTGCACTATTAACAAGAAACACAATTTTACTCTACCAGAAATACGTAAGTGAATATACACATGGAAATAAGGTTTATAATAAATATCATAAAGTGTGTTACTTAACAGGAATTTGAATATTTTTACTTCCCTTCAACATACTACGCATAAGACACCTTAAAATCAGTACAATTTTTATAGGATTAAATTAATAAAGATAATAATAAGACTTAGAAAATCTGAACATTATAGTTCATACAGTACCTCTCTTAGGTAAATACCTATCTTTCACATTATAATCAATAATTTTACCATAACAGCTTTGTTAACTTCTAAGAGTAATTTGTACATTCAAATTCATATGTAATTTGTGACATAAAGCATTCTCATTCCCAATTTAGCACAAACATCTAGTAGTGTTCTTCTGAAAGCAAATTCACAGTCTAAGTTGATATAGCCAGTTTCTCTCCATTGCAGAAATGTTTGTTTATTCAGGTGTAATACTTATTTTTGTTTTCCTGTACGTGAGAAAGATATCTCAAAATAACAACAAACATTCAAAACGCATTCTTATGAAAAAGACTTGTGCCAATCAGACTACAGCTTGTCATTTAAATGAAATACATACTGAAAAGTGATTGTACGAATTCTACACTTTTATTGGAAAAGCAGTCCTTTGTTTTCTACTGCAACTGGAAGATTCATGATCCACCTGGGTTAGCCTGTTCTTCAACCAGAGTTTGTAAGAATAAATATAGTTCTAACCAGGGCACATAATCCTGCTTTCTCTATCTCAGCATATCTCGTCTCCGAAATTGTTTCCATAGATCTCTGAGATGTTCACTGGTTACAGTCATCACACAAGAGTAATACTCCTTCCAACCATACCTGGGACTCTCCTGTGAAAAGTGAAAAACATACAATTGGAAAAAGATATTTTTCACTAAATAATACATTAAATTTTACTCAAACTCGTACAGACTTGATATATGTTTTAGTACTAAAATCATGGAAGATCAAATACTTCAGTGGCCCAGAGGTACTTAAAGTAAGGTCTATAAATCTATAAGTAGGATAAGTTTTAAAAATACATCCTCACCTCACAGTACACAATTAGCACTCAACAAAAAGCCTATTTATATCAAAAGCTTTAAGAGAGCTTCCTCTTCATTCAAGTATGTCCTACTCTCTATAGTTTTGTTTCCTCCTTCTCTGTGTTGACATTGCAGTAAGAAGTTCGCCTCTAGCACAAAATAAAGAAAATAGAAAATTACTGATGTTTATGAAACTGAGGCATCATGAAAAGCCAAATAAAATCTAGGTAGATTACATGAATGCTTCTTTGCACTAGGTCACCTTAAATCCTAAACTGCACTGGAACACAGTAACATTAAGAAGTGCTGTGGTCACAGATGCCTCATCCCTACAAGTGTTCAAGGCCAAGATGGGGCCTGTGGCAATCTGATCTACTGGAAGGCATCTTTGCCCATGGCAGAGGGCTCAACACTAGCTAAGTTTTAAGGTCATTCTGTGATTCTATGGATAAGTGAACACTGAATAGAGAGAAATAATGGCCCACACCTGGCCTGGGAGTCTCACTAGGCTGCATGCTGTCTGCAAGAATCACCAGATCTCCTTATTTCTCCCATTACGCCACACTTTTTGATAGCACATACATAAAGATGGAGCAGGATTAAATATTAGAACAACAAACAGGATAAGGAAGGAATAGAAATTATGTACATCACTCCAAAGCAGCCCTCTTATTATAGATAAATTAGAAGCATTTACAAATAATTTTATATTGTAATCCATCAGTATCTGGAGGCAAATTGTTAAAGTGCCAAGGTGAGAGATTGTCTAATAGCTAGTTTTGGTTAAGCAGTGTGAGGTTGCTTAAAATACTGTGCCAACACAGCATATTAAAAGTAGCTATTACAGAATGAAGCCTACGTTCCATATATTCTTATTACTCATCCTGTACAATTAAAAACATAGAATATTATGCAGAAGTTGTAAATATTCAGAAAGCAATCTAATCACACTATATAACAGACTTCAAATGAAATATTAGAAACAATACTTACAAGAATGTAATTCAGTTGAGATTTATGATCAATTTTATTAAAAATGCGGGACTTGCAAAACGCATTGTGTTATTTAACAAAAACACATTCAGTTGATTAATCACTGCTCTAAGATACGCATTTCCTTTTCATTTTAATAAACAAGTTCAGAGGAATACTTGTGAAAATCAGTAAAAGAAACACTGAACCACATGAACCGTTCATTTACTTCTAAAGGTATGCGACATCATTGTATCTACTCTCAGTGTACTAAACCTACAGAAGTAACACATTGCTCACACTCTCTGATATTTTCACATTCCACTGGAACATTTTCCTACCACTGTATCCAGATATGTTCTTAAGGAACTAGTCCCTTTTAGCATCAAAAGTCTGAGTTCTGTAACTTCCAGTCATATTTGTAAGATGAGTAAGGTATGACTATCATACATTTTTCTCTTCATCTATTTCAGAGATTAATTAAGTTTAAAAGAAACCAAAGAGGCTGTCACTTCTTTTTTCTGATAGATGTATTCAACCAACATATCAGAAAAGTATGAAAATGAAAAGCTTTCATATTACTAACCACAAGACAAAGCAGAAGACAGAAGATAGCAGTTTATTGTTGAAATTCAAATGAGGTTCTAAATTCTTCTTCTAAAGTCTTCCACATCTTTCTCAAAATGAGATTTTCTTTCCCAGTAGTCCCCTTCCTAACCTTTTGTTTTTAACTATTATTACTGCATAAAAAAAACTTATTGAAGATTTAGAAAGTCAACAGAATTAAGACTATCTAGCAAACAGTTCTTGTAATGCAAAAATCTTAAAATATTCAAGAACGTGTTGGGATATACATCTCAATTTCTTTACAATTATGACAGAATACTTATCTTTAGTAATGTAAAAGTCAGCAAAATTGGAATTACATGTTAGATCTCTATTACAGTTACTGAACACATAAATAGTTTAGCAAATAGCACTTTTAAATGGACTGGAATTCCTACTGAAGTTGGCTTCTTACATCCTGCTTTAGAAATTACCTCTGAAAGGGCTCTGTTAAAAATGTCTTCATAGAATCATAGAATGGTTTGTGTTGGAAGGGATCTTTAAGATCATCTAGTTCCAATCCCCCTGCTACAGGCAGGGACACCTCCCACTAGATCAGTATGCTCCATCCAGCCTGGCCTTGAATGCCTTCATGGAGGGGCCATCTACAACCTTGCTGGGCAACCTGTTCCAGCATCTCGCCATCCTTACAGCAATGAACTTCTTCCTAATATTTGGTCTAAACCTTTCCTCTTTCAGTTTAAAGTTCGTCCTATTGCTACATGTCCTTATAAAAAGTCCCTCCTCAGCTTTTCCGCAGACTTCCTTCAGGTACTAGAAGACTGCTATAAGGTCCTCTTGGACCCTTCTATTCTCTAGTCCGAAGATCCTCAACTCTTGTTTCAGCCTATCCCTGGTAGGAGAGGTGCTTGATAATCTTTTTCTCTTGGACAGCCTTTTCTTAAAACTCTCAAAGCAGAGTTCTCTTCTCAATTCTGTTTGTCAGTTCCCTGCTAATGTGATTTCTACGTTCTCCCTATAGGAGAGTAACTGCTGATCCCAAGACAAGTTCTGTGCCCTGTAGCAAGATCAATGTAGAAAAACTAGCTTTGCAAGAATACTGTCAGCTGCTTGGATCACACCGAGCTTGTGTAGTTGATCCCCAAGGACAGATATTAATTATTTATTATAAGGATATAGCATTCTATACACTTTGAAGTAAACAGCATTAGTGCAACGTGGAGATAACACTGAGTGCAATGTACTATTTTACATCATTTCAGTGTGCCAATTCAAACTACAGTGTAATCAGTGATAAGTATGCCAACTATCTTAATCTCTTTCATCAGTTCTAAGTTTACCACAGAAAGTATATCTCTTCTCATGCTTTAGCCTCAAGTTTCCATTTCCATTAACCAACATTTGCTACAAACTTTAAGATATATTAGCAACAAATTTGAAAAAAAAATATTGTGAACTATGTACCATTTTAAACAACTCAGAATAGCTAACAGGATATGTTAATGTAATTCATCACAAGAGACAAGGAGCAGTTGCTCAAGTGACGAGCAGTAGCTGACAAACATGTCTGCAGGGAAGAAGGAGTTTTATACATGAGGCTTATACTGCATTCTTCACTGCGCAAGGAACAGCTATTTGATAGATACCAGATAGATACCAGAAGCATTCTTGTTACTGCACCCAAGAGAGCTACAGGCGCGAAAAGGAGCAGGTTAATAAGCCACTTCCATACTACTGCCTGCAAGGCTGCCTGTAACCATGCTAGAGCACTCAATTAATTTGGCTTCTCTGTGCTGTCTCCCAGCACATACTGTAGACATAACATTATTCAATTTAAAAAATTTTCCTTGACAATAACTATGTATTATGCAGAGTGACAAAATCTCCCACTGTAAATCTGTGTGTGTGCACGTTTGTATAGATTTATTTAAATATTTATCCAATTTATTGCATCTCAACAGGCAAATGGATTAATTTATTGCCTAAATTCAGGTCTTTTTCAAGGTGTTTAGGCATTTGAACTTTATGCTTTTATCACAATCTCTCTTTTTGACACCAAAGCTGATTTTATTATGCTTGATGATTAGACATTGGATTTTTTCATGTCACTGCATTTTGCTCCAGTCACTCTGAAATTATTAGGAAAGCATCATGGCCATACAAATATTTTGACAATTTCCTGCCAGAGCTGTTCATTATCTTTAAAAGTTTCCAGTTTAAACAACATATAATACGTAATTACAATGCAGACTGTACCTGGCAATGTAAAAAAAAACCCAACCTAACAAATGGCAGAATTAGTGGGAACTCAGAGGGACTTTGTTATCTTGAAGATCTTTTCCAACCTCGATAATGCTATGAGTTTTACAGATATGGGAAAGGAAGAAAGGAAATTCTGTAAGAGTCAAAAGTTTATTTCAAAAATTTATCTGAAGCCATTAATTTCCTCTTATGTGATTGTTAAGTAGGATTACTAAAATGTTGTTTTAACTACTTCATTGGTCATCCATTAATCAAACTGAGAAACAAGATGTTCTGTTTGTTAAGATCAGATTTTCTTTTTTATTCCTTGTGTATTAGTACAATGCCTCAATATTTAGGTTATACTGATCACATATTATTAGGTAATGAAAATAAAGAAATTCTAATTTTTTAAATTATTATTATTTTTCTAGGTAGCAGTATAATGTATGCAGATGAAGTGGAATTCTTGTCTTGTTCTATGAAGACAAATCAGGCACATAGTCATGATATAACCCAGGCTATCTTTACTGCTGCTTTTCAAAACATCACCCTGTTCAAAATATATGGGAATTTCTAGAAAAAATGGTATGAAGACTTCCAAAGATGGCTGGGTGGGATACATGGCATGCTATACCACGGAAATGGGACAATAGTTTAAATACATTGTCTCCCTCTTACCTACCTTACACAGAGATTGACAAAAGAAAAACACCCCTCATCCTTAAAGCCATCACTATATATATAAATAGGATCCAAGAAAATCCAGCTGAGTATAGCTAGACTGCCTGCTTTTCTGCCATGATGTTTCAAAGTTAGAGAAGAAAGACTTAAACTAGAGGGATTTAAAGATGGTTATTAGACAAGAAGTCTGAGCCTAATACTCAGAATCTGAGCTTAAACTCAAAATTTAAAACATTTGGGGAACCTGCAGTCAAAATTATCTGGGTCAAAAGCACATGAGATGCACTGGCTGCTCTGGTCCACTCACTTTGTTCTTTCCCATTGACAAACATGGGACCTACATTAGCTTTCAACAGTCTTCACAGAAACTGCTGCAAACCCTATGGGGGAAGAAGTGCTGGCACCAAAAAAACTGTAAACTGCAAAGTAGCCAACTCTGGCTTTATGTAAGGGAGTTCAATATCCAAGTGTCTACTGACACATTTCTGCTGCATCCACAGTGTGACTGGTAGTTTCAAAATGTGACCCTAAAATATCCATACTGTAGTTTTTACACTTCACAATACATTTTAATTTGAATATTCACATGGCAGATATATAGAAACAGCCAAGATGGTCATGTGTGGTCACAGTGCCTGTTTTTAAAACAGCTGGTGTAGAAAAAATTGTGCAAAAACATTACTGCTTTTGGAAGCATCCGCATACATCAAAGTAGAATCCAATTACTAACAGTCTCTCAAGGAGAAAAATCTGTTTTTCCAATCTTCACTGGTGAATATTTATTAGCTAGAAGTAGTTGATAAATTACTGAAAAGATGATTACAGGACAGACAGAAAAAAAACAACGAAAACTACATAAGAATACTTTTCCCTATCCTAAACATAGCACAAAATTGCACTTGGCTCACAAAACACTGACAGCATGAATTATTGTCAATTCCAGAATAAAATCCTAACACTTCAGTCAAAAACACAACACAACATTTTGAGCTGCTACATTGCTTACAATAAGATAACCTATTCTTGAATTCTGAAATGGGAAACGAAGCAGCAACAGTTTAACATTCAGCCATTCCTGCAAGCATGCCAGCACACTCAGACTGGGCAGCTAACACATACCGTAATTTATCTGCTATAGAGTTCCTTCCTCACGCAGGATTTGAAAGTAGTATACCTCTGTATAGGTTTGTAGCCCTGTGGAGCAGAAGATGGAGAAGTGCGCAGGTGCAGACAACACGTGAAGGCAGCCAGAGGTAAGCATAAGACAACAGTATCATGAAAATACAAAAAATGACTTTAAATGACAAATATCTAGAAGATACAGTATAGTAGGTTCTGGGTAAAATGGTTATTGCTTAGTCATTATGGTCCGAATCTTTCAGGTAAGAAAAAGGAAATTTGTAATGGAAAGGGAGTCTGTTTACATATGTTTAAACTAAAAAAAAAAAACGTAAAAAAAAATTAAACCAATCAGCAAATCATTTCTGAATATTTTTGTAAGTTTATGGCAATACTCTGACTGACCACTTGATGGCAGCTTAGTACACTAGTTTTTTTCAAAACCAAACAAAGTTTCAGGTTACGATACTGTGTTTCCAATAGAGAAATTTCTTCAAATAAACTCCTGAAGACATTTATTTTCTCAAAACATACTTCAAATCACAGGTATATGTCAAAATGAATATTTATCATGTTCTTGTAAGGGGCAGCACCTGATTCTCTTCTAAATTTATGGCTATGCTTTTAAATAGGACAAATATGATGCACATCTTTTAGAATCCCAGTTTCACCACACCTGTGTAATACTTTACTTTTCCTTTGTATCTTTTCCTTAGTATATCATTACAAAATGTCCTTTTCTATAACACATGTTCTTCTTAGTGAAATCTGTAATTACCTCAAGGTTCTTCTGGGCAAACATTTTAATAAAACAACCATTTAAAAAGTTGAATTACTTCAAATTACAGATCTGTTATCATCTCTTATTTTTGGATTTTTTTTTAGAATGGTACCCAGGAACTACACTGATCTGAGCAGACAATAACTGTAAGTTATTTCATATTAAAATCAGGCATTTAAACTTCATAAAAAGGTTAAAATTCTGCCAAGGCAAAAATTTCCATGTTACTAAAAACTACTGCACAAATGGAAATAATGTTCTTTCTTCTGTATAACATATCTGACCAAATCTTTATACAGATTCAAAACATAGTTATTAACAAAGATTTGTTAGTGATTTGTTAGTTTTGATTTAGCACAAGACAGTGTCCGAGCCTACCACGATGTAGGGGCTAAAAAGTAAATTTTTGCTTATTCTAGGCACATTAAATATTCTAAAACTTTTCATGTATGAATAATAGGATGCAATTAATGACACTTTCTACCAATTAGTTCTGGGCAAAAAGTTCTTTTGTATTCTCTAGTCCTCATTCTAAAACTAGATGGAAGGAGAAAGGTTCTTAAAATAAAAAGGAGGATTTTTACAGTTTTATTTCACAGGCCACTACAAAAAAAAAAAAAAAAAAAAAAAAAAAAATCAGCTTTGTGTGAGAAAATCTTACTTGAAATGACAATTGGTAAGTTCAGTACTGTAACTGTCTTGGAATACTAAAGAATGATCTCTGAATAATCAAACAAGCCTGAATGTCAGTATGTTTAGCAAAAACAAGATTGAATATGCTATTTCTGGTCACTGAACAATAGGACTAAATCATATCTCCTTCTCTGCAATCCAGGAGATATCTAGTATCTAAATAAAACTAGGCATGATTTATGAAGGAAAGTGCTACTCATCCACACATCCTTGTGAATTCTCCACAGCTTTTTATGGAGTTCTCTAGAATATTTTAAAGAGGCCAAGGCAAAAGTAATATACATGCATAAGTTTAAATAGCATTGGATGACATAGATTCTCAGGGACTATATGTGATCTCTTTCATGCATTTTGTGGAGTAAAAAAACATGTAAAACATTTACAAGAATTGCTTAGAAAGCAGACTGTGTCCTGGTTAAATTAACATACAGTGGCACAATTGAGAAACAATTAAAACATATAGCTGAACATCTTGAAACAGTTATGAAACAGTTATCATTCCCACACGATAATAAAAGGATTTGAGGACCAACAAGCAAATAAGATCATCACAAGTGCAGTGGTTGTTACCCACACTTTTAAATTAGATAATAACATTTAAAAAAAAAAAAAAAGTAGTAATCTAAATAGACTCAACAACATGGGAAATTTTAAAATTACATGTAGAAAGCTAATTTTGTGTGACTAAAATTTCATTACAGAAGTAATATACTGAAATGTGAATTATAGATATCATCATACACATCTTTTGGAAAAATCAAAGTTCAAAATTTATGTCTAGCTAGCGGGCTAAGCTGTAGGTAAGAACAGCACTTTGCATTTGATTAAAAGTGTTAACAGCTGTTATATGGACAAAGAACTGTGACTTCTATTGTTCATACTTTTTTTTTTCCCTCTGCTTCTATACAATTTCTTACACTAAACCTGAAGATGGCAGCAAGGCCTATACATTCACCTAGAGGAAAAAGTTGTACATGTGATTTACAAGTGGTTCCTTATGAACATTTTCTGCAAGTAATTTTCTGCCTTTTAACTTCTTGTAACTTAAAATGATAGATACAGGGTTAAGTTATCAAAGCAACTTTGAACCAGAATGTAGTGTTTTTCAGCAGAACCAATTTAGAAGACAAATTGTCTATTCCCTGAAAATAACCCAGCTGTTATTACTATCCTTGTCAGAGCTCTTAATGCCAATCTATGAGTTGCACAATACAGAAGAAATGACAGAATACAGTATGCAGTGAATTGATCATCTGTTTGATTAGTGTACTATGTTCTGTGTTCTTTGTATTACTTTTTGATTAAAAAAATAACCAAGAATGCCAGAAGGTATTTATCTTACAGACTGCTTTAGGATTTCTATAAAATGTTTAAACATATGAACCACTGATTTGCAACATATCCATGTCACAGGACAAATTAAGAAGTAGTAAGCAGTAAAATCAATTAATATAAATTTAAAACTTAAAATCCTTACCCTAAACCCTCGATTAAGTCTATCTTTCATAATGCCAATAAATTCTTTGTAACTCAATTGGTCATCTCTGTCGACATCAAAAATCTTGAATACCGTGTTCACCAAATGTGGTGAAAGCTTTACACCTGTGGCTACATAAACAGCACGCTTGAATTCATCTACATAAAGAAAACATCAGAAGAAAAAATAAACACAGAAATTTAAACTTTGAAATCCAAGCAATCTTTTAAACTAAGTTTTCACACTTATGCATTAAAATAATGAAATTTGAAAAACAGAATTGAATTTCATGAATCTAAGACAAATAATTCTCAGCTATAAAATAATACATGCAATATCAAATATTTTGTATGGAAGATAACAGTAGATATACTACACTATATCTAATAATAAAACCAGAAAATCATATTATAATTAAACTTACGTTACATTTATGCTGATGGCATTTACTTAACTGACAGAACAAAAGAAATAGAACTTAGGAAATAAAACATAGAAAACCATATATTCCATTAGTAAAGCCACATGAGGTAGGACTACACTGATGCTGTTGTGTCAGACTTCACTGAGATGCTACTTGGGGTGAGTACACAAGCTTGACCACTTCAATTTGCACTCCCCCATGCATTAAGGATTTTAGTTAGCACACACCTTTCAATTCCCACTTACTGATTTGTGAAAAAATCTGTCCCTCTTTGAACCTTCTGAATCTGTTTCCTTCCACAAACTTTTCAGCAGTAAGTTTCTGAGACCCACTATGTAAAGATGCTCTCACTTACTTTAAGCTGATCTCTTACTAGTGTCATCGATTGCCTCTTAACTCTCGTACTGATTTGATGTCAAACTGTCCTGTATTCAGCTTATCCAGCACTCACATGATTTTATAAGGCTTTACTGTATCTCTTAAGACTGAGACTTCTCTCTAAGCTCTTTTCAGAATTTTACCTGAGATGCTAAAAGGACAAACTGGGAATGAAAAGACATCTTCCTCTCTATTTTAGTCAACGGCTCTGTATTTTTGTCAAAAAAAAAATTGTTTAAAATTATCTGACTTTTTATAAACACTTACCTTGACCTATGGAACGACTTGCAAAATTATACATTTGCATTGCAATTGTAAAGTCTTCTAGGTTGTTTAAGAACTGGAAAAATGATCTAAATTCATCAAAGGTGATACCCTAATGAAGAAAAGAATGTGTATTAGCATGATTAAAAGTATCAGTAGCGACAACAAGGGAATAAACAAACCTTGCCTCTACATAAATCTACTTCATTTGAGAACAGATACTACAGTCATTGAAATAAACACGTTCGTACTGGAGTCAGTGAAATACAGAATTTGGATCTTGTAAAGAATGAAAGATGTCTTTCCTATTTTCCACTACAATGTATAGCAAATTCTTATTGAAAATACAGCCAGAAATATTTCCCTCCTACTTAAGTCTATCTCAAAAATTCCAAAAGGATTATTAAGATGTGCCAGTTAACACTGAGAATGAGTCTCGGTTTGTACAAATATTGCAAAGCCTACTAATGAGAACCACTACAAACCACTGTTATTTATGTGTATGTGCACTCACAAAAGGATGTGGAATTAATAAACATGACCTAATGTAAGCACTATATTCTAAGGAGAAGGTTTTACACATCCAGATTTAGCCACGTAGATCTCTTCAGTTGATGCTTTTAAGTCTTATATTGCAGGGCCTCTCCAATTAAAAAAAATCTTTTCCATTTTGACCAGAATTCAGAATTTCTTCTATAAAATGCAAAGTTTTTAAATAGCATTTTTTTCCCTTTCCTTGTGGTATTTGCTCTTCTTTTCTTTTGTCCTAGCTACTAATCCAAAGATATGATAATTTACTGCTACATCAATACTGAAAGAATCTTAAACAGAGACTTTGGATTAAGCCAGGACTGAATTAATGCTAGAATGGTATTAATCTCATCCTTCCCCATCCTTTGTACATAAAAAAGGATGTGGTTTATTTATTTTTTATTATTTGGACAGATCATATTTTACTAGAGAAAACCATTATATTAATGTACAAATTATGTTAAAATCCATGGAATTTCTTTAGGAGCTGGTACTTGTGTTAATTTCAGGTGCCAAAATGAATCACTAGATGCTTGGCATCCAGTTAGTAAAAGGAAGAAAACATACTGTGAGCAGGCAGCATGCCAACTGAACATTTTAACATGACCACATGCATGCCAAGTGACATTTCTTCCATTTATTTCTATTCCCCAATCATTAATAAGAACCACACAGCCATCATTAACTATATACAAGTGATCCACTGTTAAGACTATATACAGCCAGATAAAGCGTGTCAATGTTATTTCTGAAGAGATGTTACTCAGGTAGCAATATAAAAGAGAAGTAAGGGAAAGAGGATTTTTCAAATACCTCATTGCTAGAAATTTTTGTTGTTGTTGTTGTTTGAATCTTATTTTTTTTGTCATTTAAACTGAACTTGAATGTAATATAAAGCTTAAAAATATTACTAAATCACATAACGAACTATATTATTTATGTCATTTACTATTCTACTTTTTAGTCAGCAATTAACTTGAGAAATGTAAAATGCACAGATTAGGAATAGAATAAATTCCTGGTGCTACAGAAATCAGTGACAGAATCTCAGAATTTCAGTCCAGCAAGGTTATGTTTCCATCCTGAGAACACTGGGACTAAATGCTGTGGCCCACTACTATCCCAGAGTGGTTTAACCCAGCAAGCTGCTAAACACCACACCACCTTTTATTCACTCCCCCTCTCTCAGTTTGGGAGTATATACCCATATATATGTATGTATACATGCATATACACATATACATATATGTATGCATACAAACAGACAAAATGAGAGGCATAAAAACTGCTCACCTCCTGCCGACCAATGCCTAGTGTGTCTCCAGGCAGCAGCAACCTCCCCAGCCAACACCCCTCCATTTTAGGCTTTTTTTTTTTTTCCACGTGGTGTCATATGGTATGGAATATCTCTTTGGCCAGTTTATGCCAGCTGTCCCTGGTTCTGTCCCCTCCCAGCTCCTTGCACTCAGTCAGCTCCCTTGCTGGCAGGACAGCAAGAGAAACTGAAAAATTGAAACATCCTCGGCTCTCCACAGCATTGCTCAGCAACAACTAAAACTTGGGTGTGTTATCAACTCTGTTTTTCTTGTAAAGCCAAAACATAACATCACATCAGATGCTATGAAGAAAATCAACTCTGTCTCAGCTGAACCAGGTCACCAAGTTAAACACTTACCTTTTCTTCAGGAATCCTGCAGCGCATGTTTTCCAAGTAACTTGATGTATTTTCTACATTGGTATATCTCAAAAGAATATGTGCAAAGTCTTCCTCACTGATAGTGTTCATTCCATTAGAATAGGAAAGGAATTCTATTTCTAGAACCTCAGTTTGTAGGTTATCCATAAATCTGAAGCATAAACATGAATATGGAAAATCAATAATATTCCATATTTTTACAATTCTTGTATAAGCATGTCCATTAAAAGACTTGTAAAACACAAAGCCAAACAGTATGATACAAATTATTTCCCTTTTTGTAGCACTGACTGTACATTTGTTAATTCCATCCATTCCCACATTGATGTAATTTCAAATCAATGCAACAACCTTCAAAGATGCAGAGTTTTAGCAAGGATTAAAATAAATTACAAATTTAAGGATTACATAATTTCTAGCTTGTGTTTGCTTAATTGTTTTCAGTGGGGCACTGAAAATTTTTAATATTTTAATTTATAATTTTAATTTTATATTGGAATTTTTAATTTTTATGTGCCAGACAGAAAATATAATTGGATTGATAATTTCTCCAAATCTATTCCCCATTTATTTAACTTAGATTGAGATTAATCTCACTTTTCTCTCTTTAACAACCTGAGTAGGATGAGCCAGCTCTTCCAGCCTTTCAATATCACCCATTTTCTTTCCAACACTTCACTTATCTTGACATTTCTATGAACTCTTTTTAACAACACATTTGGTAAATTCTGGACACCAAATCTGGCTAATGAACAAAACAGCTGGTTACAACTTACAATATATGAAAGGAAATATAACTTCCCTGATCCTGCTTTATGTCCTAGCTATACTACCAATGACAAAAGTAGTTCTCTGGTCACGGTACTGTCCTGGAGCTGAAATCCACTGACTGTCAACCACAACCCATACCACTTCCCTCTTACAGGTCCCCAAAGTACCTGCCTTCTCAACACTGTAATGCTACTTCTTAATATATGACTTGACTTTTAAGAAATAAAATCATCTCAAATCAAAAAGATGCCTACGAAAAAGTGTAAGGAAAGCACAGTATTTCCCTGAGCCTCCAGTTCAGAGATTTTTTTCAGCTGGAAAAGTAGTTTTGAATAAAACTTGATGGATCTTCTTTTGTGAATATGACTAGTAGGTTTTGACCTCCATGGCATTCATAGTATATTCTGGGCACTGTAACTAGATTTCATGAAAAAACCACTATTTTCTGTTTTTTTGTTTTGAACTTACCACATCGTGATTTCCCTTGACAATCCATAATTTTTTATATTGTATGAAAAACAATATATTCTTTGTAACATACATGATATTAAGGGAAAATATTTCCCAAACATCGGATTAATTAAAACACACAGATAAAATAAACTATGAAGACAATAGATATTGGTACATAGGAAGCAGCACTGATGCAGGGCTTTTTATATACAATCACATAATCATCGAATATTCCATGTTGGAAAGAACCCACAGGGATCACTGAGTCCAGCTCATGGCTCGACACAGGACCACCAAACAACAGACCACACCTCTGTCTCATTGTAGCTTTTATTATATTACTCTATGTGCAGAACAAAGGGAAAATAAAATTTATATCCTATACACATTATATACACAAATACATAAATTATGTGTACGGTAATATAATACACATTAATTAGAACAAGCATGCATTTCTTTAAAAGTAATTCATAAAATTGAGACTTACCTATAAAAATCTTCGAAGTTCAGTTCAGCTTTTCCTTTCTTGCCAAAAAAGTGTACAAGCAGTGTTGTATCTGACAGTGAACTTGCAATATCATCAGTACGCTTAAATATTAGAATTAAAGAAAAAATGTATAAAAGAACATGACTGGATTACTTACAGAATGATAATTTGAGAATGTCTATCAACACAATAGATCTTTCTATAAAAAGATTTTGTGTTTCATGTTCATAGTGTTTAAAAAGATTTTAGTATTAAAATTTGTTAAATTAATTTAATCATATAAAATAGCATTTTTCCACACAAAATAGCGTTGAGTTGTTAACTGCATTCAGTAGAAAACACTTCAGCACAACAACCTAGTATTATGGATGCTGCAATGAATAATAATAATAAAAAAAAAAGCATAAAAAAACCCATGAACCCCTGAGGAAAAAACTGATCTAATCAGTTGAGCTAAATCACAAGAATAACTCCCTTTGTACAAAATCTCCCCTTCTTTCTACTGGACAAATATGAAGATATTAAAAAACTTCATGTAATCTTATATTTTCTTATATTCTATATGTTATTTTATACAAACTATATATTCCATGAATACTCAATAAGGTGTACTTTATTTGATTCATTATCATAAACAGCAGATGACTACTGTTCAAATCTTACTGTCAAATAGATTAAAAGCAAAATAAATATAAAAATAAATAAATAAATCCATGGAGTATTTTTTTTTTAATTCATTCTCCTAAAAATATTCCTAAAAATATGTTGTCTCTGCATCAGACATCAATTACTTTTTATTTTTTAATGCGTAGCAATACCTTTGCCTTAATAAATAACTATCAATTTTGAACACGCAGACTTATAAGAGTGGAAAAAACAAATTTTGTGCATCTGTAACCACATGACTATTATATGCGTGCATTTAACTTTTTTACTATATAAATATCCCTACAGCATCTATGTATGTGCATTGACCTTACCTCTTTTACAAAGACTCTTCAGATATTGAATAGCTAAAAAAATCAGTCAGTAAAATAAGGGTCTTAAACAAGCCATTCTACCATTAAAATTATGTAATTATGGACAATAAGAAAAAATATAAGGCACTAACAACACATTTTCCTTTTAAGATCCAAGAGCTAAAGAAGTAAGAGGAAAACTTTTCTATGCTATACTATCACCAGTTCAGGATTCTCAAGATTGTATTTCAATTACTTCAGCTTCCTCCTTATTCTCATATTCTTCTCCAGGGAGAAATAAGATGACATAGGATATATACAAAGAAAGATTTTCAAGTTCTTCAATTAAGACAGTGAGCAAATTAATTCAGAAAACTTATCACTATTTGTCTTTTAATATTGTAATCCTATACTACAGGGCACAATACACTGAAACACAGATACCCTGATTTCTTATGTCTTTTAAGCAATTAAATCTCTAAGTACATTCAAACAATTTCCCTCAAGTACACTTAAAAGATATCAAATGTTAAATTACAGCCTTTCATCTTGCAAAAACATTTCAAACCCTAAGACTTAGGCTGCATTCACTGATATGTAAAGAACCGTTTAACAAATACAATATGTAAGTTTTTTTTTTTTTTTTTTTTTTTTTTTTTAAACAATTCCCATTTGGTCAGCCTCACTGAAAGAACAACAAAAAACCCTGAAAACTTCAGCCCAGAAACTCAACCCTGTGTACTTCTCCATAGAACTGCAGGGAACTGAAAACTATGTCTTTACTCCTTTTGTCTTGGTAGCACTATATAAATTCTCTTTCTTAAGGGCAAATGAAAAAGCTTTAGTCATTTAAAGCTATTGTTTATTGTTAATAATAAGTTTTCTATTTTACATCAGTGAACACAAACCTGCCTGCATATATAAAAACATGAGACTATTTTGATCAAATATATTTTAAAGTCTTTTAAATAAGAATAAAAGTTTTTGATTAAAGGTCTACTAAATTTAATTTAAGCTCATGAGTGATGGTCCACTTGCAGAATCATATACCAAGAATGAAATATGAATATTATGCTTTAAATTAATGAGAGCTTTCTTACTGCAAGTCCTTGGTTTTTCAATAGTTATCACAGCCCTACTCACTTCCACTTTCAGTCAGCAACTTAAGAATAAATTTACAGGCCAAATTCAGTGCAATATTCCAGCATGATGGTGTAGTTGCTAAATTAGGTAGCAGAATCAATACTGTAAACTGCCCTTGCAAAAAACAGTGTGAAGACCAACTTTTTTTTTCCCTAGAAAGACCTTGTAAGTTGATTCTCACAACAGTAAACCATATTTACTCTCTTCTTCCACTTAGACAAGACCTTCTCAAAAAGCTATGAAACAACACAGACTCCAGTGTCAGCTAGGTTTAGGCTACTTAGTACAGATGGCTACAGAATCACTGAGATGGGAGAGTACCTGGGAGAGATAAGAACATGGATGAAAGCCAGCTGGCTCAAACTTAAAACAAGATAAAGACTGTTGTGGTGAGAAGAGAGAAATTCTCAGTGGAGCAAATGAAGGACTTAAGATTTTTCTTCATAAAATCATTTATAAGTGCGCTGAAAGACCTGTTATACACTTTACAGACAACTTAAACCAATGTTTAACATAGCTTTTATTAAGCCTCAATGACATTTTAATTTACAGACATCAGTCGGAGGCATTCAGTGTAAAAATTATCTCCAAATCAAAGCCCTGTAGAGATTACCAAGTATAAGGCCATTTATACTTGGGACTGAATTCATGTCAGCTGTAGATTAAGAATAAGACAATTCAGAAAATTTGTTTCCCCAAGTTCCTTAAATAGCCGATGAAATGAGAGTCCCTCTCTCTTCTCTCTGTCTCCCTTAGCACAACAGACAGGAACTCTGGTGCTCTGGACTCTAATATTAGGTGATTTAAATAAGGACTAATAACTGGATTAATAGTCTGGGAGCTCATCAATATAAAAGCAAGGAAAGAAAAATCAACTATTCTAGCTTAATGGAGGATTATTAATGCATTATTATGAATTATTAACTGTAAGTATTGGCTTAAAATTGAGTTCTTTAACACTAGATTCAGGCAATTTATTTATTTATGTTTCAGAAACAAATTCTAGCTGAGAGGGGTACAAAGAAGGTGCATTTGATACTCAGAAAATACACGTTCTATCTTAAGAGAACAATCAATGACCTTGTTTTGTTTAGCCTACAATAACAAAAACTGAAAGCTATGATCGTGTTTATAGACATAACCATAATTAAGAAGATGAACACCAAAGAATACAAAAAAGCCCTACTGAAATTAAGTAATGACAGACTGGTGTAAAGAGGCTATGAGTAAATTTAGCTCGGTGTTTAGACAAGGTTCATCCAAGTCCTCAGATTATAAAATATTTTCTGAAGAGAAACATTAATTGCTTTCAATGTGAAACATACATTGCTTACGAAGCAAAGAAAGGACTGTTTTACCCTGAAGGTTTTTCTTTCAGTTCCATGTTCTCTCTCTCATTATGATCCTGCTTATGAAGCGTGCGATTTAAGAGTAGACACGTGACACTCAGTGAAGAGATTGCTGTATATCCTTCAGTGCCACATTTAGATAAGCAATCAACTTCACCATACAAGGCATATGAAAGTTTAAAGGATCTATCTTCAGATCCACTTTAGTTATTCCAAAACAGGTCATGAAACAAGAATCTTAACAGAATTCAAAGAACTATGGAAATGAATTAGGCAGCTCAGGGATATGGCTAGTCCTCCATAATGATTCTGTAATATTAAAAAAGATTGACAAAATATGTCATGTTATACTGTAAACATTTCTGTTTCAATCCAACAGCTGCATGGTAACTGTTTTTGTGACGATAAGCTTGGATAATATACATTAAAGAGTACATTAAGGGCCTAAAGATTAAATGCTTAACAGACTGCAACTCTCATTAAGTTGTCTCATCACTGGAACAAGCCTAAATGACAAAGGCTTCCCGAATGACTGCTCTCCCCATGAAATATTGTTACTATTACTGTTAGAAAATGCTTCCTTACAATAATGACTGAAGAGGACTTGATTTTGCAATTCTTTCAAAAGACAACTTTATCTTTACTTGGAGTAATAGCTTTGAGTTACTGCACTGCACAGAACCAAGTCCATTACATTTGAGAACTTTCAGGTTTAAAAAAAAAAAGAAGTATAATGAAGAAAAAAACCAAAACACATAGAATAGGAAAACAATGAGAAGAAAAATAGATAAAATAGCAATATGTTTATGGACCAGAGACAGAGGTTGCCTTATACCTCCGCAAGGTCTGAAAAGAGAGCTTGGCTTGTGCTACGTCTCAAAGTATCCCAGTAGCTTCTGGGGACAAGGTCCTCTCCTTCTGTTTTAAGAACCTGCAGAAGTTTCAAGAAGGACAATAAAATAACAGGTAACAGACTTTAAAATCTTTTCTAATTGATCCTCAGAAACATGGCTCAATTATTTTGCTCCAACAAAAGGAAATTTCTACATCCTTTACATCACTTTGTACAACAGAATACTGGTTTATTACAGAGATCTGATTTTTACTTATACTGCAGCTGTGCCAAAATGTATCACAACCCCACCTTCTCAAACAAAACAAATCAGAGAAAGCACAGACCAGAATTATATTTTTACAAGTACATGTGAAAACAGCCATCTGAATTCAACATTTTGCTGTTGTTTTTTTCCTCATACATTTGTTTTGCCAAAATGTATTACCTTCTTATGATATTAAATTTATTTCCTTATTGGTCAAAATATAAAAGCCAGTATTCAACTAGATACACTAAATTAATTTCTCAGAATCATTAGGATGACATCCTTATAACAACGAGGAAAATTAAAAATCAAACCTAATAAAGCCCAACTTTAATTGTAACAATACATATCAAGAAAACACTGTGTGCATCTAATGAACTAAATTACCTTATTTTAATGAAAAATAAACATACAGTCTCTCCAAAGGAAAAAATGATTACCATTTTGCTTTAGACTGGACTGCTGAGAAATGTGTAACATATCATTATCATGAAAAATACCATTAGCATTGAGTTAAAGGTTTACTGTCTGTGTATTTCACTCAATGACAAACATAGAAATATAAATATATGGAATTCTCTAGATGTTGAAATATAGTATGATTTCTACTCTTCATTTTCCCTTAATGTTCTTCAGAACAATACCTCGGGTAACGGGTCTTCAATACACCTGCCATATTTTCACTAGTGATATATTTACATGAGCAAAGGTATTATTTAAGAGCTTTTAATAATGCAGTGGGGCTCAGTGCATATGGGACTGTCACATATTAATTTGTCTCAGCAGTATTTTATATATATATATATAAATAAATGAATATGTATATGACTGATTATATAATTTACATTTTTTTTTTAAATAAAGTTCAATACTACAGAGGCAAGCAATATTTCTGCACTAAGTTAATTTGCAATTTTACAAAACAGAAATAATAATATACATTGAGAAGTGAAGTCTTGGTTGCAAAATATTTGCTGGAGGGTATTTTTTAACTTGCCTGCTGCTTCTAGAAGTTGTTATTTACTTTCTCCTCTATCCCGTTCCATTCAACTCTTTCATGAATTATCATCAAAGAAATATGACAAGCTACTGGGAATAATGCCCTTGCTTAATATATACATTCAGTCCTAAATTGCTCAAATAAAAAAATTGGTTTATTTCAGTGTGTACAAGATTAGGCCCTTAGGGCTTCAGTTTCTCTCTAACTCTTACTTATCCCTTTTATATCTTCTAAGCCATGGGTAGGAACAACACCTTCCTTTGTTATGCATACAATTCTGTAATATATTTATCTTAAGTCTTTGCTGAACTTAGTCTTTTTAGCCAGTAGAATTAGTATTTTATGGCATGCATACTTTCATTACATGCATCTCATCATCATCATCATGTTTCAGTTGGCATTTGGCTAGTAAAAGCACTCATGCAACACATGCAGAACTAGTCTTAACAACTGCAGTATGCACCAGAATATGACTTGAAACAACCTAAGCAAACAAGAATACAGAAATATTTAAACCACTTGAATCTGCACTGCATGCATTGTTTTTGCTAAGTCTTGACACTTCTCAAATAATTACAAATGTTTTTAAAGATGAGGAAAAGGGCCTAATGCATCACTTGTGCCATTTCCCAGACAGTTTAAGGCTGTACTTCCTTGGTCTACAGCATCTTCTCCTATGCAGGTCATCAACAGAAACTGAAAAGGAAACTACCTTTCTGTTGAAGACTTTTAAAAAACCTGAGGAACCATTTTCTCTCTTGCCAGTTGTAATTAGTACTTGTCAAGTACTAATTAGTACTTGACTTGAAAAAAGTAGTAAATATCCTTAAAGCATACTATTTCAATTCACTGGTGAAGACTGCATAAAAATATTTAAAAATATTTAGAGTACATACACTGTTAGTAGGAGTATGATATCCATAAAGTTGAATACGCTGACATACAGCAAAAATGCGCCAAGCCAAGTATCACATGTAGGTGTGAAGACAGAAAGAAAAAATAAAGACAATAGAATAGGTTAGGATATATTTTACATAGTATCAGATTTTAAAATTTATTTTTAAGGTGACAGTGGATAGAAAATGGTTTATTTTTCATCTTATTCCTTAAATTTTTAAACAGAAGTAGACAGTTGAATAGAACGTTATCGGGTGGAATGTTCCATTTTGTAATCTTCCATTACTTTTTCCAAACTGAAGAATTTTCACTGTAAATGTGAAAATCTCAAATGAACATTTGTTTCTTTTCTGCTGTGGATTTGACAGAAACTGGACAGAAATTTGTCCATCAATAAAAGTTTCTGCTACTGCTGCCATTGTTCAGACAAACCACAATCTTGTCTGTTTCTGACTTACCTTTCTCACACACACACTAGACACAAATTTGACATTAAATGAGTATTCGATGTTCCACAAAAATCTATTCACATAATAATAACTAAAAATATTTGGCATTGGTAACAAAAAACATTTAATATAAAAATAATTATGAATATAAAGTCTAACTTTGCTTATCACCTTTTATCATCTATACTAAAACTATCACAATAATATCAAGTATCAGGATCAGCATTTCTATGTTAACAGTTTTCCTAAGTTATGAGAATGGGAGCATAGTTTGCTTTTGCTAAAGAAACGTCTCCCTTTCATAGACAATGATATTGAGCCATTACTACTCAGTTTTCCTAGATTTATAGATTCCAAATGGAATCCATGCTACTGTCCTTAGATAAAACAGAATATTCTAATTCTCTGTTTTCAAGAACCACTTCACTATTTTCCCCAACAACTGCAGTAACTGTTCTTCTTATGAAAAGAATTTGTTTCAAAAAAGAGAAAAGTGATAAGTTAGCACAATACATCACTGCCCTAAAGATAACAAAGTTGACTACCAGCTACAATTACTCTAATTTTACTTACCAACATTGCACGTTTTTCTTCGTCTCCTTTTCTTTCTCTCTTCTCATTTTTTTTCCTGAAAATCTCCTGTAGCTACAAAACAAATGATTTTGTTCTTGTATAGCTTTTGGACTATTTCACATACGTGACAGTCATTCTCCATGGGTAACATAGCATGCAGTATGAAAATGCAGTTCTTCAGTAAAATATCAATTACACTTTTTTGTTTACATTTGTGCCTTCATGTTCCTTCTCTCATCTTAAGTGTAAGACAGAGAAGCAAAAGGATTTTGTTTTTCACAAAATAAAGCTAACTCTATTTGGAAGCACAATACTCAGAACATCTTCTTTAGCTTTGTATTTTAGCCAAACTACGCCTGTACTGGCCTACAAAAAGGGGGAGTTCCAGCCTTTTTCACCTCCTCTAAGCACATCCTTTGTTGTCAGGTACTATTTAATACAGCTGTGCAGCTAAGCAGTCAGCTGGATCAATCCTTTTTACATGTTAAGTTTCTAGACAGATCAGTTCTTACTCTGCTGGCACAAGCATGGGGTGGAAACACCTGGTGGGGGCGAAATATTCTCTGTAAGCAGCAACAAACTACTCCTCAAGAGTAATTTATCAAGTACCTTTGTTTTTTCAAGTCTGTTCAAAGAACACTTTCGAGTCTTGTAAAATACTTCTTTTACAAATCTCTTTATATTAAGAACTTTAAAAGTGACTTCTGAGACAACCTCAAACAAAGGATTCAAAAAATACACTTTTATTTTTGGAAATCACAGTCTTCATGTTATGATCTGTACTTATCTTTGTAAGTATCCATAGTCTTTAAATGCTTTTTATAGTAATACTTTTTAATATGTCCAAACCATTAGAAAAAAAGTGTATCGTTATTTATTTTTCACAGCAGACAGAGCACTACTCCGATGGAACTCTGATGCCATCTACCAGTGAATTTCAGCTTTTCAAAAACTGCATCAGAAAATGTTATACTGCCACTTCTAGCATGTGCTAATCACAAAACAAGCCAAAGAGAGCATGCACTATGGCTGAAAATTTGTTCCATCCAGAATATGGTATTTTCAGAACCAAACATCATGGTGTGCAAATAACGGCAGCTTAATTACACAGTTGTGGCAGTTGCTTCATAGACTGAATTCTACCTACCATGAGATAAAAACACAGTACTGTAATTACATGAATACAGAGCTCCACATGGATCAGAACGTGATCAGTAAAATGCAATGTGTTGAAAAACTCTGCAAAAATTTTTTCCAAATTCAATTGAATAAAATATTTTAGAGATGGTAGATAACTAAGATAAAGGGATCAGGAAACTACTGCTGAGTTATGACAGTGAAAAACCAAATGAATGCAGCATTTAGAGACTGAAGTGCAAATGCTTTTAAAAATAATATTTTATGGATTTCCATATCTTTATAAATTGTCTCTAGTGCAAGCACAGACCACAATATTATCCTTGTCACTGTACCTATTTTTAAGTACAGGATCGATTTACAGATCATGGCCTGTCTTTTCATGTTTTTTTTTTTTACAAACTTACAGGCACACAAACTACTGCAGTGCACCAGGATAGTCACAAGAGGACATTTACCTAGATTGCCTAGAATATTACAGATGGAATATTAGTTTGCAACTTAAAACTGTGGAAAGAAGAAAAGTAAATGAAAAGACAGAAGCAGAAAGAAAATACCTAGTGAAAAGTGAAGTGACAAGCCATAAAGTAAAAGAGAAGAGTGGCAGTAATTGAAAAACAAAAAACAAAAAACAAAAAAAGAAAATATCAAGGGAAAAAAGCAATGCATCCTTGAATGTATTTTCCCTGCCACTGAAGCAAAGAGAGTAGGATTCTGTTGCATTCACCACTAAAGCACTTGCTAAACTTCTAGAAATGGATCTTTTGTTCAGAATGAGTGCTATAGGATACCAGTGAGTAGAAAACCAAATGTGAAAGGATCTAGGAGTACTTTCATAGGAACATTGTTTCCATGGATGAGATTGACTGCCGAGAGCAGCAAACCGAAGATCTCCTGTAACAAGGGAACACAATCCTTCTGTTCCCTGACCTCACCCTTATGACATAAGCAAAGAGAAAAGCACAAACACCTGAGGAATTAGTTTACAAAACCACTAGAGCTTTTATCAGAAAACAATGAGTATTTTGCAGGTCCTTATTATATGTATGCTTTTTCTTGGGATTCAGGTAACAGATGGTCTCTACACCATTCCCTAGAAAGTATTACCTTGACTTCCAATTTTATGATAGCTGATTGTCATCAGAGAAGTATTTTGCAAATGCTACATAAAGCATATGTTTACAGTCTCCTGCTTCCAAGTACATTGGAGATTATGCACAGCCATGCACTGTGAGTACAGATGACAAATACATACTCTGCAGCTAGCTATATTCTGAGCTGGAGCATCACTGACTCAACTTTCATTTTCATATTTACTTTTCTTTACACAGACATCCTCTACTTACAGTTTTTCTTTTGTCTTTCTTACTGACACACTAATACAGCAGAATTACAGTCAGGTTTAATCTACTACACAGATTTGTTTAATATGGTGTTAGGAGGAAATCAGTAAGTCTAATGTTTGAAAATCTTCCTTTGCTCTATCCAGGAAACAGACTATAAAAGCACACCTAGAAAGACAGATGTAAATATCCATCCTTAAGTATCCTTACTTCCCTCTTTTACACACTTATTTACCCAATATCATTTTCAGCTGAGGATTCTGTAAGGCAAAGGCTCCTGCTTCAATTTCCTCTGCCATTCTTTATATTACTTTGACATCCTATGCCACTAGGTAGTTTGAGGAGTCATGAAAGATACTCCTTCTTTTCCCCACTTGGTCCATCAGCCAATTAACTCAAAGTTGGGTGGCTTTTTTTGGGGAGGAGATTGTTACCGGGAATAAGCAAATAAAAATAAATGTACATCTAATATTATAAGAAAAAAATGATTTGCAAGCCATACTTTGCACGAAGTGGCAGTTTCCAAAGCAAAGGAAAACTATTCTGATGGAGCTATGCCAAAGAAAACAAGTGTTCCTAACCTCAGATCTCACTCACTTGGTTGTACATCCTTGAAAAGGAGAACTGAGGAAAATGCAGTGTGTTGAGAACAATTTCTTCCAAGTTTCTGTGTTCTTTTAGTTAGCACAGGTTACCTGGACTGAGCCACATAAGTTGAGTTGGAAACAATACAGAAATTGTCTATACTTACTCAGCAGAAAATAAAGGTCTTGTGCTGTCTTCAGAAAGCCTATGTAAACCACTAACCAAGAATCTTTAAATGTTAATTTCTAAAGAAATATGAAAACTACTGTATAACCAAGATGTTATAATTGCAATATAATCAAAAGAGTAAGGCAAAAGCAAACAAGGATCGCAAAAGAGAATAAGTAGAAGAGCTTACCCTTGGGTTGAGCTCACTAGAAGATACCAAAAGAGGAGGATCTCCAGAAGAGATCCTTCCCCTCTGGTAGCCAGCTCTTAAATAGGTCCAGGAGGGGTGGAGCCAGGCTCCACCCCTTCCGGCAGCACAGGTGAATTGCCTTCACCTGTGCTCCTCTGGCTGACTCAAGGCTCACCTCAGGTGATTAATCAGAGGTTCAGGCTGTGACTCAGCAGTTCCCATACAACTACATTTGCCATCATCATGAGTCTCAATCACAACAAAACCTGAATTTCAAGATTATATAAAAACATTAAAAGGCTGAAAGTTCAAATACTGAAGATACACATACCACTAAGAATTCCTTTTTGTCCACCATTTCATTGCCATCAGTATCAAACATGTTGAAAGCAATTCTAAAACCTGCATGAGGCTCTGCCAAAAAACAAAAATAATAATTTCTTCATTAATTGGAAAAAAACACATGTATAAAACCCTAAGAAATTATGCAGCATCTTATATAAAAACAAATAAACAAACATCCTCAGCTAGTTTAAATTAGTAAATTTGTGTACAGAGTAAATGCAAACCACAAAATCAATATAAAATATTATTAATATTATGAAAACGTAAGGGATGGTCACAAAGTCACAGATTATGAGAAATATACAGTAGAAACAAAACACGAAAAATCCAAGAAAAATACTTAGCAGTAGTGGCTGGTTCAGCAGTGGATAGTAATCATTAATAATTACAGGTATGTTTTGTTGGGTTTTTTTGTTTGTTTGTTTTTAATAAATCAAATTTGCAAGAAATAAACTTTCTATGAAAACACTGTTTTCAAAAGACATTTTGAAAAATTTTCTTTTTTTTTTTTTTTTTTTGCAAAAACATGTCAAAACAAATGATACTTTGATAGAGACTTAAATTTCTTGTTTATATGTGTCAAGTCACAGAAATTTGAGATCAGGTTAAAATTTTAAATCAGTTCATAAACACGTGGACTCTGACGGCAAACATATGCGAAGTCTTTGGACAACATGCTTTGCAGGATGAATGAGTTATGCCGAAATTTAGTCCAGACAACATGGAAATGATAGAAGAATTGATGCAGTAACTATAGATTGTAAGGGTTGAGGGTAAAGTTCCTGCTCTGTTTCACAAGTATTGATATCAGTTTGACAGATTTTCTAAAATAAAATAGATGTTATTGATATCACTGTGCCATTGATATCATCCTTTACATAGAAAGATGTAAAACAATACAATAATGATGCATGTTTTCTCTTCTCCCTATATTCTCTTCTCCCAATATCTTTATGAACAGTAAATTCGGTACATTCAGCATAAACAACTAAAAATTTTATTGGAATATAAAAAAATAAACTTGAGCTCTTGACAGGGTTTTAACCTCAACCTTCTCAAGAGTCAGTAAGAGGTGTTTTAAAGAATAAATGACGTAAAGCATAAGATTCCTGTAGGACAGGAGAAGTTCAAACAAACAAGGATATATCTTTTCCATACTTAGATATGTAAGAGAGAACAAAAAATAATATTCTAATGCACAGCAATATATTCAGAGCTTAAAAATTTCTAAGGAAGGATTTTTTGTTTGCCCTTCCCCCAAACACTTACTTGTTAAAATACATAAGAGGAATAAATATTCTGTGTAAGATATCACACCTGAAAACATCAATAGAAAAAATGATGTTATATTAGTTTTACATTGTCTTCACATCTTAAACTCAAAGGTATTAAATCTGTGTATAAGAACGAGCACTTCCATACATGCGGATATGCAAATTCTTTTTTGTTTGCATTAGCTGACTAAAATATTGACGTACTTAGGTTCTTTTCTCTATTGTTTGTTGGCCGTTTTAGTTTACTTTTGGGTATTCTTGGTGGTAAGTACAGTAAGTAAGGCAAAATAACAACTACAGTCAGTGGAGAATAGCTCACCAAAGAGAAGCTGATTAGATTCATGGTTTATTTGACTCTGATAATCTCACCAATAATGACTGAAAACAGTCTAACAGCATGAGAACATTTTCTAGTTTTCAGAACAGTACTCCCTCCTGATGCATACTGTTTGAAAACAGCCCTTGATTTTTACTGTGTGCTTTGTAAGGGCATGTCCTATGTTAACTGAAAGCTTGGCCTAATATTACTGATGAAAGTACAGCTTGTACTTTTGAATTCTCTTTATATGCACGCCTTCACAATAATCACCTGAAATTTTTACTAAAGCTCTTATTAAACAAATACGTGCATTTTATTAAATGTGTTTAAAGCCTAAAGGAATCTGTGCTATTGTATTCTATGTTCAAAAGACCCATAAGGGTCTTCTGTCTAAACTTTTCATCCTTTGTTAGATGTCAATAGGCAATCACAGTATTGAATAGTGCTCCTTTTCAGAAATAAAGAGAGCAAAATTTAAGATAGAACTGAAGTCAACATTCAAATAGTATGTCCAGTACTGTAAGAGCCATACTGCTTCCCCTCCCCTAGCTCTTGGGTGTAAAGGTAACGTAGCAGAATCCTGCAGTTACTGGCTCTTTTTTCCAAATCAAGTTCAAAATATGATGCCCATGACATCAGCATGGCATGCAGGCTCTTACTTGCTGGTGAAAATGCATAGCTAATGTTGGTGACCATGTTGAAAAACAGTGTTTTGTAGCTGAGAATTTGCTCTGTAAACTAGTGCTATTGTGTTCTTTGTAGCTGTTTCCACAAAAATAAATAGGAGGCATTATATTCAGAGCAAGCAATATAAATAGTCTCATGATTTTTTTTCACTGAAACACATATAATTTAACCTTAGACACTGTATTATCTATATGGGTTTCACAATTATTCAACAAATTTAATTTCCATACTTCAAAAGCTGTCAAATTAAGAAACTTTTAAAAACAATATTTACAGCACAAAAAGTCCAAGTTCATTCTTTCCTTTAATATTCACAAGGACTTCCTGCCTTTCCAGCTTTGCACTGAAGATTTTAAGAACAGTGGTAAAACTCACCCCAAGTACTTCTTCATTTATGTTCTCCAATAACACAACAATGTATCAATATGTGGCTAGAATTCCTACAGTGCTTCGCAGAAATTCTTTGACAATACCTACTGAAGTCTGTTTGGAAAAGCACCTATCAGATACCTCACAGCTCCTCATTCAGTGATGTAGGACATTCTTTAATAGACAGTCATCGTCTGTACAATAAATGTAAAAAAATGAATTTGTTTGTTTGATGGCACTTTCTTTGTTGCAAAACAGAGGAAGGAAATGCAATTGTCAGATCGTCCACCACATGAAGACAGCAATACAAAAAGCCTTGAAAGCATTCTCTCCTTTTGTTTGTACTGGTATATGGTAGCTGCAGACAGATAGTTCTGGTTGACTGCACTGACTGTTACGGGAGAGAGGCTCTGTAATTTCAATTTAACAAAAAGAAAAGCTTATATCAAGATCTGAAAGCATAGGAGGTCACTCAATGGTAAAACATAGCAAGACCTAAGGACAGCTGGCATAAATTTGTGTAGTGCAACTAATTCAAACAAATCTATGGCAAAATACATCAATATAGTCCTTTACTACTTGCTTAATATTAAAACGTGCATGTTTTAGAGAAAATGAGTTAAGATTAATCTGGAAGCACTGATGCCATATAGTAATGAAATTAAATCAGAACGAAGGAGACTTGAATTCTAGTCTTGTTCCTTTCATCAACTTACTAAATGACTTAATGAAGGACTTCTCATTTATTGTATAGATATAAAATATTGCATTTTATAGATAACATAACAATTAACTTACTTTGTAAAGTGTACTGAAAAGCTATGCAAGCACTAACTTTATTACACTAGTTTTGATCCTCTTAGTTGCATCAGCTTCTGTCGAATTTCACTAACATAAAACTTAAGTATTGTTGAATCAAGACTATATTTTGGAGATGTTTTATTACAGACTTGCTTTTAATTAATTATACATTGACTTAACAGAATCTGAATTTTTATTTAATTAATATTTCAAGATTGAGCTGTTCTGACATCAGCCTCGAGCAAAGAAATACAATGCAAATATATGCCAGTATCTGTGTCTCTCTGCAGCACTGGCTGCAGACTCAAGGCAGAAAGAGTTAAGCACAGTTTACAATTAGACTCCATGAAATTCAAGCCTGTGAGCTGCTTTGAGAGTAGGGGCTTATCGACTCCATTAACAATGTCAAGATGTAGTCAGGGGCTGAACTCAATCTCTACAAGTACCTTCCAACCTCTGCAATTCTGTGTCTCTGTGAAACAGATCCTTCAAATAAATGCACACATTTGTTTGGAATTTTTTTTTGCTGGTATGAATATTTTATACATCCATATCATTTTTCTTTATAGCAATTACTTGTGGTTGCTTTTGAAATTTTCAATAGTCCTTTGCCATAATGAAAATAAGCAAAAGAATATGTGGTTTATTTATTATAAACAGCTTTTGAATATTTGTACACAATTACAGCTTTTTGAATAAATAAATGGAAAGATGAAATGAAAACCAAAGTATGGCTCTTCCTTTACCAATAGTAAGAATTTTAAAGGTTAACAAAACCTTCATCTTTGACTTTACAGGAATATACAGCATTTCTGAAACTCTGTTTCAAAAAAGGTATTTATTCAATTACATCAGTGCCATTAGTGTAAATTATCTTCTTGAAGATGTGACTCAGGTTAAAGCACAACACTACTTCAGCACCAATAAATTAATACATATGACAATTTGGTTCAGGAAAATCACAGAATTGTAGGGTCTGGAAGGGATCTCCATAGATCATAGAGTCCAACCCCCCCGCAAAGCAGGGCCCCAACAGCAGGCTGCACAGGTAGGCTTTCACATGGGTCTTGAATATCTCCAAAGAATGGGAATCTACAACCTGCTTGGGCAGCCTGGTCCAGTGCTCCAGTGCTCACTGTGAAGAAGTTCCTTTGCATATTAGTAATAAATTCTTACCCCTCACCTTTCTCATTAAGAGTACGGAATAATTTGGATGAGCCTTTCCAAACTGGTGGTGTCTCCATAAGGATCTGATTCAATTCCTACAGAAATAAAATTAGAAACATATTGACATGTATTTAAATGATTAAACAAAGACGTTACTGGATTATGAGTAAGTGCTAGGAAATCAACATGAAAGGAAATGCTTGCAACTCTGCAATTTAATTTAATTTGAGTTTAACACACTGACTTTGGGAAGTACTCATATAAATTTTGCATATGTGATTAATCCAAAAATTGGTCATCTGAGAAAACTCACACAAATACTGTTTACAGAATTGGAAAGACACACAGAACTTTTATCAAAACCTTACTGAAGTCCAGGCAGGAGACTCATCCTTAGCTTCAGGTAATATGCGCAGCAGTGAGTAACTTCAGCAGCAAATATATTTTATGTTCTTTTAAGATACTTGACCTGAACCACAGCAAACTTCACCCACGAATGCGAAGATACTTTACTCTCAATACAGGAACACAGACACAGTTCTCTTGCAGTTGTACAAATATGAAAAAAAAAACGGAAACTGAAGAGGCACTTCAATACCACAAAAGATACAGAATGGCATTAGTATTTCAGCTGCTACACTTAAACAATAAAGAAACTCAGTCAGATACAAGCTGAAGAAGAAACTGATGGAGGTTTGAGGAAGTCAGTAAATCCAACACAACATGCTTGAGCAGCTGTGCCTGATCGAGATTCTAGACTCAAATCTGTCTAAAGTGACAGAAAAGTAAGAAATTAAAACTTCTTTTTTTGATAAATGTTAAAAACTCACTTTCTTCTGCCACTCCAAGTTCACATCATGAAAATGCATGGTTATAAGATAACATAGGAATTATTACTCACCTGCTTGGAAAGGGATCGCCACGTTTTAGCACCTGCAACAAAAGACAAAGTTTAGACATATAAAATTCAGTTATACCAGTATGGTGTCATTACAATTATAATGTATCCATATCCCATTTTCTATTTAAAAAGAAAAAAAGAAAAAAAGAAAAAAAGAAAAAAAGAAAAAAAGA